AGAGCACCCGGCTGGACCAGAGGGCCGAGGCCCCAGGGATGGACGGGGCCAAGCTGCGGTCACCCCGCTGCGCAGCTCAGGCCGGGGGTGCAGGAGCCAGGCATCCCCCGGGATGCAGGGGCTCAGAGCAGACGGGGCCGGGGAGGGCGGTGGGGCACAGCCCCATGCCCGGCAGCACCGCGTCTGGCGGGAGATGCTCCACGGCGCCGGCGCAGGGCAGTCCAGCAGCAGGCCCCAGGGCCCTGCCAGAGCAAAGGGTGCCAGGGCGGCGGGGAGGAGAGCTGGGCCCGGGCAGCGCAGAGCCAGCTGCTGGCTGAGGAGGGGATGAGGGGCAGGCCAGTGACCTGCTGCGTCTTATCCATGGTGTGAAAAGCATCAGCTAATTGAACAAATACGTGCCGGAGCGCAGAGAGCCCGCTGGGCCATGCATTCCTGGGCGATTATACCCCACGCATCGGGCGGGGCCAGGAGGAGGCCGCGGGGCCGGGGGCCAGCACGCTTTCACCACCCAAGAAGAGCAATTAATCGCCCGGCGCGGCGCGGCGCGGCGCGGCGCGGCACGGCTGAGGCCTGGCGCGGGACAGAACAAAACCAGGCGCAGGCATTTCCCGGCATGAGCGCACCCGTGTGACATCACTGGCGGCCAGTCGGATCACGCCACGCAGGTCCACCGCGCCTAAAGCTGGAGATATTTTCCTCATTACTTGAATGGAGATCTTCGTGGCTGGCGAGCAAGACCACCAGACCACGGTGTCTGTGCCAGCCCGCGAGCGCGGGCTGCACCCTCTGAATAGCCCGTCACTGCTCTCTCTGTTCCCAGACATGCACTTCGCACCGCGGTAGAGCAGTGGTTAGACCAGGGGCAGTGGGAACCCAGCTCCTGCCTCTGGGTACTGGGGCCACAGCTGGGCCTGGCTCTCAGGGCCTCTGCCTTTCATTTGGGCTCCCCAAATTAAGTCCTGCTTGGGAAGCCCCAGTGCCACCCATCACGCCCTGCCCTCATGGCCCAGCAGAGGAGGGGAGCTGGCCACGCGTGGGAATCCCTCGGTCTGGAGAGGACATCTCTCCCTCTTGCAACAGATGGTGTTGCCACGTTGCTTCCGACACCCACGTTGCCCTGGAGCTTCCTAGATGCAAGGCGGCTTGGCCCGTGTCCCCAGCGCCTCCCCCAGCCTGGGAGGCAGGAGCGCCAGGCGCCAGCGTGACCTCAGCCCTGATGGTAGACAGAGCCGTGGCCAGGCTGCCCTGCAGCGCCAGCTCCTCCACGCGGGCACCCCTTCGTGCCGTGGCCGAGGCTACGTCCACCTCCTTCCGTCCCCCGCGGCACACGTGCGAGCGCAGTGGCCACCGCCTGGGCCAGGGACTCGGCAAGGGACACCTGCAAACAAAGCTGCACATTGTTGGGTCTCGCCTGACACCCGAGATTTACAGCTTTTATTTCACAGGGTTTAAAATAAAATAAAACCTACACACAATAGGCAGGAGGAGAGACTCCCCCCCGTGCGCTCCCCGCCTCCCCCCCAGCTCCGGTGTCAATCTCGTGCTAGGATACAAATGTTTCCTCGGGGCTGTCGCGGCCCCATTCATTACTGTGATTTATGGGGCACCCCGATGGGCGCAAGGGGCTGCTGACGGGCTTTGATAACCTCACACCCCTAATGGGGAACACCTGGGCAGGGGCCGCGGCAGTCAGCCTCGCCAGCCCATTGGAGCAGGGGCAGGGGCTCTTGCCTTGCCCCGCCATGGGGAAGGGGCAGCGGGGCTTGCTCAGGCTGGGGGCAGTGGTGGGGGTCGAGGGGTTGCTCCAGCCCTTGGGGCACGAGCCCTGTGGAAGCCACAAAAGCAAATGATTTGGTCCCATGGGGGGCTGGGCCAGAGATCCGGTGCCCGGGGCTGGGCTGGTGCCTGCGGAGACAGTGGTGGTGGCTCCCACACTGCGTGCCCGTGCGCACTGCCAGCTGATTCATCTCGCACAGAGCCGGGGCCGAGGGAAAGTCTGCTCCGGACAGGCTCACACATTGCTGGTTTGGCTCCGGCTCCGCTCCCCACCCCCCTCCCGTCCTGGCTCCGGTCCAGTTCCTCGGCCTCCGTGTCCTGCATCGGTGAGTAATGTCGAAGTAAATTGAATAGATTGGGAGCCGTCACAGTAAACGGCCCGGCAAGCGGTCACATGCCTGACAATAAGATAGGGTTTCCAGAGCCGAGGCGGCCGCAGAGCCGCACCGGGCAGTGCTCCCGCCCTGGCTGCACAGGCAGGGCCAAGCCTTGCACTGATCTCACTGGCAAAGCCTGCACATTCCCAGCAGCCGGCCAAGGCACAGGCTGGCCTTTGTTCGGCATGCTCCCCCGCAAGCTTGCCCAGCCCTGGCACCAGGGGTAAGGACCGGATGCCCTGCACTGCACAGAGGGAACGCTGTGTCCTGGCCTCGCTTGCTCCACCTGCTCAGCCACGCTTGTCCCTGGGCGGGCAGGCAGCACCACCCGGGTTTCATTGCCCCAATGCTTCTCCACCAGGCACCATGAACTGTGGGCACGGGGGTGCCAGGGAGAGGCTGGGCCAGCTTCTCAGCTGTTGGTCCCTTGGCTGCCAGGCAGCTCTGGCAGTTCCTCTGGCTCAGACCCTCTCTTCAGAAATCCCATAGTCAGAACATCCAGCAGCGCAGGATCCCCCGCCCAGGCTCCGTGCAGATACCTCTGCTGGCACTGCTGGGCAGGCCAGTGGCCTCAGAGCTGCTCTGGGATGCTGGGCACTTGGGGCTCCAGCTGGCAGCATGGGAGCCAGAGGTGCTTGGTGCCTCTGAGGACCAGGCAGGCAGGGTTTGGAGCTGTGTGCATGGACTGGGTCATGGGCAGTCCCGAGGGGTGGGAGGGAAACAAGTACCTGAACCAGAGCTGGAGGATCCTGTCTGAAGCCAGGTGGCCTTGCTGAGGGTGCTAACTGGCTTCTACCTCTGGGCACCCTGTGCCCTGTCCAGCCACACAGCTGTCTCCCTGCACCCAGCAGGCTTGGGGGCGCTGCTTTGCACTAACACGCTCCCGAAGCTCCGGGGAAGAGGGGCAGGGATTCCCCTCTGACCTCCCCAGGGGCCGGCTGCTGGGGATGCTCTGGGGCTCTGAGGCAGATGTGAGGAAGGACCAGCGCCGTCCCATCCTCTGCAGGGCTCAAGAACCTGGGGGCGGTTTTCATGCTGCTCTGCTGATCCCCGGGACTGGAATGGCAGGGGCTCGGCCTCAGGACTGAGGCGCGCTGGCCGAGCCAGGGCCCCTAGGTGAGGACGGGGGCAGAGCCAGGATCCTAGGGCTAGAAGAGCAGGGGCAGCCGGAGCCCGGACTGCAGTGCGCTGCCAGGGCTGTGTGGGGCCCAGGACTGGAGCAGCGGGGGGCTGCAGGTCAGGACTGCAGTGCACTGGCAGGGCGGCGTGTGGGGAACACTTGCACCGCACCTGCCTGCAATATGCCTGGCTCCAGCCTGTGCTGTTGGCCCCTCAGCTGCACGAGCACTAAATCCACCCACATTTTAATAGAAAAAACCTTCCCAGGCAGCAATATTCCAGTTGGCAGATCTTTACAGCCTGGTGATCCCCCCTCCCCCCATTTCATGGATGCTTTCTGAGCATCTCAAAAATGACCTGAGCTTCTCCAAGGAGCCTCTAGCCCAGGACCAGCTCCGCAGAACATGCAGCTGGGGGGGAAATGCAGACACAGACCTGAGCTAAGGACGTTCCTTGTTTGCTTGGTCTGTATCCAGCTCTGCCCATTCACCCAGACAGACTATGCCCTGCAGGGAGATGCCCTCATGCCCCCCCCATGGGCACCGCTCGAGTCCATCCGTCCTGTCGGACCAAGCCTCGGACTCATTCATCATGGATTTCCCCTGCCCTGAGATGAGCAAACAAGCCGCTTGCCTTCCCTCCCTCCCACCCCCCTGCACCCGCTGGAACGATCTGTGCTTTCCCCGGGCGACCCTGCCAAAGGGTGGGGTTGGCAGGGCTCGATGATGCCCAGCACATGCTTCCTGGTGGTGCAGGAGGGGTTAACCAGGTTATAAATTACCCATTAATATGGAAACGTTACTGAGAAGAATAGAAAGGAAAGCTGGACTGCTGGATTCTTCGCATTTCTAGCCTCTTTATTTTTCCCCCAGGTCACTTTAAAAGGATGCAGAAAGTAATATGCAAAGATCCGCTGTGAGCTTGGCCAAGGCTTTCTTCTGCTGGTTTGTTTTTTACACCCTTGCCCTGGAGCCAAATGCTATCTCCGTCCCAAGACTTCCCGGAGCTGAGCAAGCCCCGGGCTGGGAAACTCAGCCATTAGCTTCATTCAAAGCCAAGCTGCAGGACCTGGGCTGACAGCATCCAAGGGGCGGGGATGGCAGGATCAGAGGGTCTGCAGGACTCACGCCCTTGGGCACTGATGCCGGGGCCTGCGAGGGTGGAGGTGAGCTAGTTTCCTTGCCCCGGGGCCGCACACAGAGGGAGACAGGCCAGGAGAAGGTCACAGAACAGGCCCAGGGGCTGGGTCCCGGCAGGGCGCTGGGTACTGCCACAACACACAGATTAAAGGAGCAGAGAGGTGGAAATCCCCTTCTGGGCAATGCTGGTGCAGGGGGACCAGCCCTGGGGGCGCAGAGCAGCTCCTGGCCATGGTGCCAGGATGGCTGCAGCTGCCACCCAAGGGCTGTGTGGAGCGGCTTCGCCCACCCCTGGTTTCAAGCCTGTCCTGAGTGGGTCCCACACCCTGCTCCGAGCCTCTGAGCTCAGCCCGGGTGGTTTGTGGGCAGGACAATGTCCATGGAGTCAGCTCGCTAAAGGTCGCTGTCAAAGGGCAAAAACCACATCTGCTTTCTGGTTGCCGCGCTGACTCAGAGATGGGGGGATGAGTCTCTCCGCTGCGGCTTTGTCTGATCTCCACCCCCCCACACACTCTGCCGCCTCTCTGCGGGCTTCGTCACCCGGCTGGGCTGGGGCGGGAGCCCCTCTGGCCCGGAGCCCCTGGCGGGGATGGCGGTCAGGCTGCACCCGGCCTCGTGCACAGAAATCTTTCTTTCCCACCCCTGCCTGCGTGGTGGGTATTTCTGCAAGAGATGCGGGTCCCACAGGGCCGTGCCAGCTCTTGGGTTTGCTCAGTGCCAGGGCCATGCGGCCGAATGCTGGGCACTGCCACAATACAATGGACCAACGGGCTGGTCCAGCGGGCAGGCACTGAGCCGTCCGTCCGGAGACGTGGGTCTATTCCTGACTCCACCAACACCCTGCCTCTGTCCTCCACCTCTGCCCTTGCCAGTGCTTTGGGGCAGGGTCTGCCTTGTGCTATGGGTGCGTTGTGCTATGGGTGCACGCAGCACCCGGCATCATGGGGGCTGCCCATGGCTGGGGGCATCTCTTGGCCTCCCCACAGCTGCTCCAACCCCAGAGCCATAACTGAGTCTCCCCCCAGCCCAGCCCTTCAGACTGCGGGAAGCTCGTGGGGCTGCTCCTTGGCACCCAGCAGGCAGCTGGTGCTTGTTACAAACCCCACGAGGCTCTTGGCAGGGCTGAAGGTGCAAAGCCCAGCGCCCTGATCAGATTCCAGCTCCGGTGACTAGACTCGGAGTCTGAAAATTCCCCCTGCACTTTCAGCCCACGCCCTTCACAGTAATGCCTCTTCCGGCAGCCCCACGGCGCAGCCTTTCTGTGCTCCCTGTAATGGCTCCAGAGTGGCCCCTGGGGCAGATCCCTTCCGCTGGAGACAGGTGAGGACCTGCACGCGCTGGGCTCACGGGAGTGAACGGCGTGGCTGCGCCCTGCGGGGAGCTGGCAGCTATGCTGGCAGCTGGGGTTGCCCCTGCCTCGCTGGTGGCAACTCTGCCAGGCTTTCCCTGCGTGGGCTGAAATGTCTCACTGCGGGTGCCGGCCTCCGCCTGGCCTTTTGGGGAAGCTTCAGCAAAGTCGGGCCGGGAGCTTTGGAGAAGGAGGACAGGGGAAAACGCACTGTTTTGTCTGTGGGAAAACTAGAAAAAATCCTGGGGAGCTCTCGTGCCTCGGAGCGCAGCACGGGCTGTGAAACTTGGCAGCGGGCCGCCCGCCTCGTGCCAGGGAGGCGCCTTTTGCCAACCCCATGGAAGTTACGAGCCACTGAGAATCCCCGTCTGAACATGCTCCGTGCAGACGTGTCAGAGTTTGGCAACTCCATTTTCCAAAGAATCCATCTGCCCTGAACATGCTCCCTCCCTGCACGGCCCCTCGGGCCAACTGGACGGCACGTGGCCATCCCCACATGGCGACCAAGTGTGTTCCGCCGCTGGCGCCGGGGCTGGGCAGGATTCCCCCGCAGCGGCTCCTCCTGGTTGCTGGGTTAGCCGCGAAGCCTGGCACCGAGCAGGGAGCCTGCCTCTGCCCTTCTCCCCCGGGGGCCCAGGGAGCAAGGAGAGGGAGAGGGAGAGGGGGAAGGGGAGGGCTGGCCTGACCAGACTGCAGAAGGGTACGGACTGGGCGGGTGGCGGGGAGGATGCAGGGGGCAAGGAGAGGGGAGCCACATCTGAGGCAGAAGCCGGGTAAGGAAGGGGGTGGGTGACGCCGTGAGAAGAGGCCACGACCGCAGAGCACCCTCCTCTTGCTACCCGGGAGGGCCCGGCCGCTGGGTTCATGCCTCCATCTCCCTCCCAAATGCCCAGCACGAGCCAGCTGGAGCATGCCGTGACATTGGGGGGGGGGGGGGG